TTGTACTATAATCATAATGAGGAACCGCACAATAACAGGCAATGGTTTAGGCTCCTATACATTAAATGAACATGTGGGAGCACAAGGGTTTTGGGCACAGGCCTTAACCTCGATGACCAACAAGGCACCGCACTGATACCCTGAAACCCGAAACCCCGAAGCCCCTGATCCAACACTCCACCCTAAACCCTAAACGCCAAACCCNNCCTAAACCCCTAAACTCTAAAACCCTAAACCCCCGCATGCCCCACGGCCCGAGCTTGAAAGCTTCAACTCTGGCGGATCATGAACTTCAGGACACTATTCCCGTGACGCCGTACAGCCACAAGGGTTCAAGGGTTCGGGGGCGTACCCATAGACCCCAGAGTAGTTCCTTTTATTGGGATTACCTAATAGGATCCTAAATACAATGGGGGCTATGGGTGGTGGGGTTGCGGGTTTAGGGTTGAGTGTTTTCAGTTAAGGCTTTGGTAGCTGATTCTTCTGATCGCAAGTTGACGACCTCGCACAAAAGCACCGTCCAGGTTCTGCGGTTTCAGGGGCGAGCCGCAACTCCCACCACCCAGAATTGCTAGCCCTAAACCCTCAACCCTCAACCCTAAACCCCCAAACCCCTAAACCCTAAACCCTAAACCCTACACCCAAAATGCAAGGAAAGTGCGTGGAACTCCAAGTCCCCAGTAAAAGACCAGCAAACGACATCTACCTGAAGACCAACATGCACAGCTCCAGAGATTCTAAAACCCCTTAATTTAAGGGATATACCTTAAATCATATTAGGGGTCCTATTATAATTTAAGGTATATTCCTTCCTTAATTAAGGGGTTTTGGAGTCTCTGGGGTTCACAACCTCCCAACGGGCTCTAAGCCAGCAACGCCCAAAAACGGAAACCTCGAACCCCCAAATCCGATTTTCCTTGCCCCCGAGCCCTGAAACCCTAAACCCCAAACTCTAAACCCTGAATTACTAAACCTAAAACCCTAAACCCTTAAACCCTAAACCCTAAATTACTAAACCCTAAACCCTAAACCCTGAATTACTAAACCCTAAACCCTAAACTCTTAAACCCTAAACCCTGAACCCTAAATCACTAAACCCTAAACCCTAAACCCTGAACCCCCAAGCCCTGAGAGTGCCTTGTAGCTTATGTTGTCTGGCGTGACGGCGCGACCGCCGTACGAGACGTTCCAAGTGCGGTCTTTGATTGCCACGAACCTGGGCTTTGAAGTAACCCAGGAGAAAAAAGTATAGACTTTTATTTCATAATGGTTCCTTTAAGGAACAGGTCCCAAAAAAAAGTATAGACTTTTATTATATAATGGTTCCTTTAAGGAACAGGTCCCAAAAAAAGTATTAAAGTATGGTACTCCAAAGCCCAGTCACGGATCCGAACACGATCGCTTTTAAGGAGTGACTGAGCCCGCTCACCAGGATGTAGAACTCCGGGACAGAGATCACCACCCTAGCTGCCCGCATCAGGCGTACCACGCGGAAAAGCCTCGGGGGGTTGTAAGGTTTAGGGGATCCCTACTTAAAACCCTAGACAGCAGAGGTGCTTCTAGACGAGCTTTTGTTGAAAGCCCCACCTGAGAACGTTCAAATTCACCGCGGAGGCCAGCAACATGCCTCCCCACCCGAGGATGACAGTCAGCAGATCGATTTGATTCCACCGGTTCCAGATGTACATAGCTCGCTCCACATACCTTGGTGAGCCAAGACCCTAGACCCAAAACAAACCCTAGGGGTCATATCTTCTCGGCGGGTGACATGAGGAGTCCTCTGCGCGGCCACATAAACAGGCATGGGTTGACGGCCCTTCTAGCAAGCCCTTCAGTAACGCTTCTTCTTGTATTCCTCACAGTAACCCTTACAGCAACCCTGAAACCCTCAACCCGGCTTTATAGTAACCCTGAAGGCCCTCACGGTACCCCTCATAATAACCTAGTTTAGGTTTAGGATTTAGGGTCACCAGAATGAAGACCACCACTGCCGTGCCTAGGCACGCACGGGCGGCACACTCCACTGAGTAGACGACAAGCAAGACGATGTTCAGGATTTGCAACCACTGCACGTTGAAGCTGCCTCCAGGGCCCTAAACCTTAAACCCTAAACCCTAAACCCTAAGCCCAAAGGGTGTGGACGGGAGGAGGAAGGTCGCCATGAGCTTGAGGGTTCATGTAGGGGCCTTAATGATTAGAATAGGGTTTTGGGGCCCATTATAATTATATTATAACTATCATAAGGAACCCCGAAAATAGTGTTGGTAATTATTCAGGCCCCTACATTACAGTAGAGTTTAGGGTTCAAGGTTTGGGGGTAAAGACTTTTGATTTAGTGTTTGGCTGGCTTAGCGGCTAAGGGGTTTTTGGTTTAAGAGCTTCGGGGCTTGGGGTTCACAGGTTTGGCACTGGATGCTGCCTTCTGTGCAGGTTCGGATGTCATCCGTTCGGGGGCAGGAGGCATCCATGTTCGTCTCGACGACCATCACTCCAATGTTGAAGGCAATGACAATGCCCATGATGGTCTCAAACATCTGCGACAAGACCTCTGCATGAGAACTATCGCGGCAGTGCCTCCCCTAAACCCTAAACCCTAAACCCTAAACCCTAAACCCTAAACCCTAAACCCTAAACCCTAAACGAGCCTAGACCCATGCTCTAAACACTCACCCAGCCCTCAGCCATGTTGGAGCCTTGGCAGTTTCGGAGTTTCCTTTCTTGAAGTGCGTTGAGACTTTCACTCCACAGAACAGCTCCAGGTTTGGGAGTTTGGGGCCTAATTAGGGTTTAGGGTTTAGGGTTTAGGGTTTAGGGTTTAAAGCTTAGGGTCTAGGGTTTAGGGTTTAGGGTTTAGGG